GTTCACATCTGCCACAACCCTCAGGGGCCAAAACTGAGGAGGGGAACCTGCCTTGTACTCATTCCTATCCCTTGGCCCTCACTGACCTTTCCTCAGAATACAGGTGAGGATGAAGGACACAACTTCCCCTACCAGGGGTTCCGCATGGAAGCCAGGCTGAACTGCAATCGAGGAAACGTGTGTCTGCGCCAGAGCCTGGCCTGCTGCTCTCTGTCACCGAGGGCTCCTCTCCAAGCCCTGGGAGACTCCAGCTGCCCAGCAGGAAACATGACCTATCGGAGTATGCAGAGGGCAGGGCAGAAGTTCAGAGAATCTTGACTAGCCAGGGTGGGACTCTTCCCCACCCAGCCTGAGCATAATATCCTTGAGGCTCATCCATGTGTCAGTTTCCTTCCTGCTTAAGGCTGAACAATGTGCTATTGTTATATGATTTTTGACAACCAGCTGATGTCTGCCCGTATTACTGTGCCTATCTCCCCACATACCCCTGGCCCTACATCTAGCCCAACCATTTGCCCTTACTGAAATGAACATTGCTGCCCAAGATCAATACTCTACACAAGCTAAAAGCAGAGACTCCAGACGTGTCATTCCATGGCATCCCTGTTCTCAGGGCGCCCTTCCTCCCATATACCCTCCAAATACCCTGCTATCCCCTCTAGCCTGCCAGAGACCCCCATGTGAAATCTGGAAGAATTGCTGAGTTAGCCACATTGCCTAAGCTCAAAGTGAAAGCAACCCAGACCTTGGGCTTTACCCAAAGTTTTAAATGTTTAAGTGGACATGAACACGTATATTTTTAAAACAATAGAGTTTAATTAGCAGCTCTAATCAACCTAAAAGATGGGACAAGAATTAAGCACTTGCTGTGTGCCAAGTCATAACTCAACATTCCTTCTCTCTCAGAACAAATAAGCCCTCATCCTGGGTTCACTGGATCACAGCACTTGAGGATTCAAGTGTCTAAGGCACCTTGACAATAACTTGATGACCCTGTCACCTCACTGGCCTCCCATTGTCCACTCTTACCTCCTGAATCTACTCTTCACAATGGCCAGAGTGACCATTTACAACTTAAATCAGTTAATGCCAAGGTGCTAAAAACAAAAAACAGAAAGACCGGTCACAAGGTGGGTGAATGACTAAACAAATTATCCAATGACTTATACAAGTTTAGCTACAGACCTGATCCCTGTAGGAGTGAGAATGATCAGAAAAGGCTTCACAGAGGGAGAAACAGCTCTGGGGCAGAAGCAGGGAGGTGTCAGAGGAAATTGGAAAGTGTGATCTGATGAATGAGATCAGATCCACCCTTCCTTCCTCTTTCAGTGTGTTCTCTGCGCAAGGTTCTGCCTCTCAACCCGGTGCCTCAACTCTTCCAGTCCCACTGCAGGTGGAGAGGGCTGAGGCTAGATCCCTCCCTAGGTCCTAGTTACTGGGTATGGGAAGGGACTCTGCTGCTCCCATGGCTTCCATGAGCACCTGGCAGGGGGCCCTAAATTTCCCAGGGGGCAGCTGCTGCCAGACTTGCCTGGCCCTCTGCCAGTTCTCTCCAGGTCAGAATGAGCCCTCCAGCTCAGGACATCCTTACCCGATGCCCTTAGCCTGGCCACTGCTCTCCTTCCTGGTAAGAACTGGGCCACTTTCTCTTCTCCCTGGAAGGGAAACTGTGAGCACAGTCTTCAGTATCAGCCAGATCTGGGCTCCAATCCCTTCCCCATCCCTCACAAGCTAACATACCGTAAGCCCCCAGGTTTCTTATCTGTAAAACGGGTACTAGAATGAATCTACCTCACTGAGTTGTTGAGAGAATGAAGGTTACATGTAACATGCTTAGCACAGTATCTGGAACACAACAGATGCCCCACAAATGATAAATAGTATTTCCTGACTGCCCTGGCCTTCCAGATCTTCCTACTCTGAGGCACGTATGGGTATGTAACACAGACTTCCCATGTTTGTTGTCAACATGCTTTGTGTTCTTAAATCCTCAGGGACTTTCTGAGGGGTAGACTTCTACCTCTATTTATAATCCATAATCCTCTACTACATAATCCACTGCAGTGCCCTGCACATGTCCTGGTGAGCACAGTGACTGAGTACTGGTGATCAGTCCAGCAAAGAGAACAGCAGTTGGTTGTGAGGAACTATCCCAGGTACCGAGGGAAGACAAGGAGACCTCACCTAATCCAGCGGGCATCTCCACTCCTGCAAGTTCCTGTCTACTCTTTCCATTCCTTCCCCTGGGGCCCCTCAGAGGACAGAGGTTCCTTTCTCCTAACTTCCTCAGTCTGGTCATTGCTGGCCCAGGAGCTGCGATGCTGACCTCATAAAGCCCCAAGACTGACTGACTTTGCCTTCAGTTCCTCCGGCCCTCTTTCCCAGATGCTACTGCCTTCTACTAACCCTCTTGGAGAGGGCCATGGCCAGGCTCACACATGGAGAAGCCTAAACAAACACAAATACCCTACCCTAGCCCTGGGTGCAGGGATAAGAGATTGTTCTATTGCTGGCGTAGCAAGAATGTTAAGGCTCAGAACCTACAGAGCTAGGTGACCTAACTTGCTTAGTAGCAGACTTACTGTTTGACTATCATACACTTTTTTAGACATTGCAGCTACAAAAGGCAAAAATCCTTGCCCTCGTGGAGCTTCAATTTTTGTGAGGAAGAATAATTCATAATTGAGCCGGGCATGGTGGCACACACCTGTAATCCCAGCACTCGGGAGGCTGAGGCAGGAGGATCACTGCGTGTTTTGAGACTAGCCTGGGCTACAAAGCGAGCTCAAGGCCAGCCTAAACTGCACAGCGAGACCCTGTCTCAAAAAAAAGGCAAAAAAAAAAAAAAATTCATAATTGAGAGGAAAAATAATTAAGAAGACTTTACACTATATGTCAGATGGTGGCAAGAAGTATAATGAAACAATCAGGAAAGGCACACGGGCGTGACCAATGTAGCAATCAGAAACAGGGTGTGTTTAAGGAAGATCTTATTAAAGACTCTAGTGGAAGGGGTGGAATGGGGTTAGACTCTGGATTTGTTTTGAAGGTAGCATCATAACAGTGCTACCTTCAAAACTGGGATGGGCTGATTGGGCACATACAGGGTATAGGAAAGAAGGATCAAGGATGATTTCAAGGATTTTTATCTGGGCAGGTAGCAAGATATGTTAGTTGTGTTATAGTTTAGATCTGGAATGCGCTCATGCGCTGGGGTCTTGGTTGACAGCTGATGGGCATCCGGGGAAGTAGTTCGATCATTCAGGGTCTAACTTTATCAATGATTAATTCATTGATGAGCTCATAGCTCAGTGGGCTTCTCAGGAGGTAAGTCTAATTGAATGAAGCAGAGGAGGCATGGCTTTGAAGGTTGTGTTTTATCCCTGGCCCCTCCCTCTTGGGCTCTCTTCCTGTTCTCTCTGTTCTTTGGTCCCCGTGAGGTAAGCAGCTTTCCTTCACCACACTGTTCTGCAATGATGTTATTGCCTCGTCTTGGATCTGAGCAAGAGTCAGACGACCATGGACTAAAAGCTCAGAAACCCTGGGCCAAATCAAACCTCTCTCCTTTAAGCTGCTTATCTCAGCTGTTTATTGCAGTGATTGAAAGGTGGCTAACACAAGCTGCCATTGGCAGACAGGAGGTACTATAGAAGAGGATGTTTGGGGTAGGGGTAGAGAGTATCAGGAATTTCAATTTGGGAGATAACAAATTTGGGATACTCTTAGAAATCCAAATGGCGATGGCAAGTAAGCATACAGGTGTATGAATCTAGAATTCAGGGAGGAGTCTGAACAAGGGATATACCTAAGTCAAACTGCTTTTGCCTATGAGACAGACTAGCCTACCACCCTTCCTAAACACACACACACACACACACACACGTTTTGGGGGTGCATGGAAAACTGTCCAAGGCAACTCAGAAAGCCCATCTCAGCAAACTGTACAAATACCACCCCACCACTGCATTATACTGCTGCACTGACTGTGGAGCTTCTGGAACTTCCTGTCCCACCCCTCCCCTATCTCAAATCCCAAGCCAGAACAGCTCACATGCACTCAGACATTTGCCATTGCTGTCTGATCACTTACAGTGTCCCGAGATGGGTCAGGCCCTGAAAAAAGACAGCTCCTGTGCCTCCAGGAAACATATGATCTGATGGAATTACAACGACAACGGCTAGGGGAGAAAGAACATGTAAAGCCCAGGGCTCAGGAGGCTGTGGGAGGTGAGAGGGGCATCTACAGCAGCTGCCATGTCAGGGAAGACTTCCTGGAAGAAGCAACGTCTCATCTGACTTTGCAAGAGTGAACCAGGCAGCTGTGGGGTGTGTGCTTGGTGAACAGGGCATTCTAGGCCAAACACCGTGCTTACAGAACTGAGTGGAGTACGCGTGTAGGGGAACCACGAGTTAACTTACACACTTGATGCCAAGTCTGCAAGAGGAAGACAGAAGATGAAAGCAGGGGAGGTTTCTGCCTAAGGTCATGTTTTACAGGAATCCAGGGTTATATAAGGGGAGGCGGGCGGGGCAGGCTTCAATCCAATGGGCCTGAGTTCAAAGCCTCTGGGTGGTCTAAAGACCACCCGCGACACAAGCTCCTGAGGAGTCTGCTAAATATTTAAATGCTGGGCTGCAGTATTTTCACAAGCGCCCCCAGTGATTCCAACGCACGTCACAGAGAACCACTTCTGCTTCGCCCTTCTTCCCCTGGTGATGGGACTGGCTTCCAGGAAATCCAACAGGCAAGATGATTCATTTTCATGGTCATGGAATATGCTTACAGAAACACTCCCAGCCAAACCCAGGGAGTCCTGGAATTACAATCAGAGCAGGATGGGAGAGGAGAAGAGATGAAGAGAGGGCATTTCTGGTAGGGGTGGGTGGAAACGGGGGTTTTGGGGAGAGGTGTGAAGGTAGGACAGGAGTTTCTGTTCAGTACCCAGAATTCAAGGCCCAGTTCCTAATTCTTCCCAGGGCTCAAGGAAAGGAGGCAAAGAACTGGGGAAGTAGCCACGTTTTATTCCACAACCAGTAAATTCCACGCACCACACATTGCCACGGACTCTTCAGCACACCCTATTACCTGGGCCAGTGCTGTGCAACACAACTTTCTGCAAAGATGCAAACACTGGCCTGTGCTGTCCACTGCTGCAGCACTAATTTCTTCTGGTTGCTGAACACTTGAAGTGTGGCTACCTCACACTTCCACCGAGGAAATAAAATTTTAATTTAACTTAAATTTAAACACCAACTTTACCTCATGGCTACTGCACTGGAGAGCATAGCTCTGGGCCCTGGCGCAGTTCAGGGCAGTTTGGTTCAAAATCCAACTCTGGGGAGAGGCAGTAGCAGATAATGCCCCAGGGACCATCACCACCCCTCCCCAGAGAGAAACACCAGCTGCAGCTGCTGAAGAGGGTGAGCCTCAGAGTGGGGGGACACCACGAGCTCGCCGGATAAGGTTAGCCAGGCGCTTGGCCAGGCCTCCGGTGCTGGGCTCCTCGATGTGGAAGGTTCGGGTGAGGAGATTATAGAAGGAGCCATAGCACACGGCCACCACGGTGCACGTGAGGCAGATCACGTTGTAGGGCATGCTGAAGTCAGGTGTGGGCAGGTTCACCAGCAGTGGCTCCGTGTAGAGTCGCACGAAGTAGCTGGAGCCATCCGAGACCGGGAATCTGAGGGGTACAGGAGTGATGAGGCAGGATCCACTCCTTCTCTCCACTGTGGCCCCATTTCATCTACAGATGCTACACTGGGCAATGCGCCGTAAGGGTTTACAAAGTCTCTTACTGTCCAAACCTTTTGATAGGCATTATCAGAAAGCTCACTACGAATTGCCAAACAAAAGAAAGCCGGATGTGCTGAAGTGGAGGAACGGGCTGGCCTTCACTTGGCTACTGTTTTCTTAGCCTGATCTCAGATTAAACGGTGGTCCTCAAGGAAGCCTTCCTAAATAACCCACTGGATTATGCTCCACCCACGCCTCACCCTCCTTTCTGGATTGTGAGCACAGGGACAGAGACAAGGAGGACAAAGCTGATTTGTTTACCACTCTACCACGGGTGCTCTCTGAGGTTCTTGGTGTTTGAAAAGTGCTCTATTATTTGCAAAGAGAACCAGTGCGTAAATGTAGACTGTAAGTACTGCTATTCTTACCTATTCATTCTTCTAGAAGCACTCAGGAGCACTTTTATATAAAGTCTGTACAAATATAGATCACTAGGATTTTTAAGGATTGAGTTACACCTACACATTGCTTTGGAAGAGGTGACATCCATACCAATCTGTCCTGCAGGGGCCCGGTCACCTGTGCAGTGCCCAGCAGGCTTAGGATGTCACACAAGAAGGCTGTGGTCACACTTACAGGGTATTGAAGAGAGGGCTCCCTTCCCAGTCCACTGGTTTTGCTGCCACCAAGCTGGGCACAAGGGCACTGAGGACAGATGGGCTGCAGAGAAGCAGACAGATGGCCTGTGTTCCTCACTGGTTTCACCACCAAAAGGAAAGTGGTGGGGTAAGGTGGGCGTGAATCTTACCTGACATAGAAGCCATGGTTGGGGTCCGGAGTGTACTCGGTCCACTTGAGCAGCGCCCGCTCAAACTGGATGGAGACTTTGGTGACTGAGTTGGCTGGCAGCTGAATCAGCATCTCCAGGAGGTGGGGCTGCTGCCGGTCCTGGGCAGGCTGGTAGTGGATGTAACCTAGAGGCAAGCAAGGGCCACCTTGTTCCCGGTGTCAGTCTGCCTCAACCTCCTGTCTCTACCTTGGACCATAACCTGGATGCCCAGAAGGTGCTCCGACCACAGAACCCAGGAAGGCTAGGGAAGGAAGCAGGGTCTCAGAAAAGAAGAAGCCTACTTCCAGGCAGTGATCCTAGGACATGGTCGAGATAGGCTGTCGGGAATGCTGCAACACTAATCAATCTCTGTAACACTAAAACTGGGGCACCAGACACCAAATGCCTGATGGGATACAAGAGGAAGTTCACAAAATCACCTGGGAAATCCTCTTGCCAAAAATATGGGACATAAATCTAATCATGTTTCTAAATCTAACCATCAGTGCACAAGAAATAGAAGAGATGGAGGGACATGTTAAGCAGCAGCACAAGGACAAATCTAGAATAAAGAACGTTCTGTCCCACAAATGACCTGGTTTCTCCAACAAATACACAGCACTAGAAATGGCTGGGGGAGACCAAGTACATGAGAACTGGGTACTTTCAGTTAATTTTTCTGTAAACTTATTTAGATTCCTACTTAAATAATTGATTTAAATAGATCAATCTTAAAATTTATTAAGACCACAGTAGAGGGGCTGGGGATTTAGCTCAGCGGCAAAAGCGCCTGCCTGGCAAGTGCAAGGTCGTGAGTTCGGTTCCTGGTACCGGAGAAAAACAAAACAAAACAAAACAAAACAAACAAAAAAAAAGACCACAGTAGATAACAGGCGTGATAATGATATGCGTATGTTTTTTGAGAGTCCATTTCTGTTAGAAATATGAAGTATTTAACAAGGCGTTAATACAAAGTCTAAACTTTGCTTTACGATACCCCACCACAAAAAATAATCAAGTGTGGGAAAAAAGAACGAGAGGGAGGAAGAAGGGAGGGGGGAAAAAGGAAGAAAAGCAAATAAGCAGGAGGAGGAGGAGGAAAGAGAAAGAGTTGATCAAAGACGCCAGGAAGCTGGGAGACAGCTGAAGCTGTGTGATGGGAAGATGGGAGTTTATTAAGCTACTCTATTTTGACATGCGTTTGAAATTTTCTGAAATAAAAGGCAAAACACAAAACAGAAAACCCTACAGAACACCAAGGTAGACGTTTGAAAGATTTTGAGGTGATACAAATAATGGTGCTGAAAATAAGCAAAACTATTAACCACAGCTGTGAAGATATGTGAAACAACAAAAACATTTAAAGATTTTTAAATCTGGCCCCTCGGATGTGATTTTGCAAAATTAATGTACTCTAATTAAAAAAAACATACACTGAGGAGAAAAAAAGAAGGGTCTGCGAATCATTATGAAACACAAGGAGATGCCCAGGACTCCAGGAAGAAGAGAGCTCAAAAGGAAGTAGCTGCCTTTACACCATCCTACCAAGAAGTGCCAGCACCATCTTGATTACTTTTCCTTTACAAATTACTCCTGGATCTGGCACAGTACGTCTCCTGTTCCACTCTGCAAACTATTTCTAACTCCTTATGGCTGTGCAGGTCTTCAGGGGTATTTCAGGAACTACTGTGAGACATCAAGAGTCTGAAGGATATGCAGGGAGAGTGATGTTGCTGGGTCTGGTTTGGGACTCGGCTCCTCACTTGGTTTGTTCTCTTTGCCCTTGGAGGTGATGGTGAGGGTGTGCACATACAGCCGCAGGTACCAGGGCACGGCGTCCAGCAGCAGCACCGGGAAGGCCCTGTACGGGTGGGTGTTGTACAGCAGCGTGCTCAGCTCCCCCTTCTGCAGTCCGTAACCACTCACGTAACGCTGGGCGTGCAGGAAGGGCACTGGTGGGGCCTCTGCATGGAGAAAGTCAACATTCTGTGGCCCATAGAGGCAAGGGTTATTATTTCCCTACGTCAACTCCGCAGGCCATGTTCAGAGTCGCAAGCCAGGGAGGATGTGGGGCAAAGTTCTGCCATTAGAACCTAGGATCTGGATTTACTACTACCTTCCCCAGTCCATAAGTGATAATAATGAGATGATTATTACTTAGTAAATACTTCTGTGCCCAACACTGCTCCCTCTTCTAACCCAAACTAGCACTCTCAGAATAGTCTACCTTTTGCCTTGGTAATACTGAGCACAGTCATTGTTAACTGACACCTCCCTCACTACAAAAACTTACATTTCTTATGTGCACTGTCCTCTGTCTTACTCACCACTATGCCTGGTATATAGTGCAAGTGCAAAAATATTTGGTGAGCTGGGTGTGGTGGTGGACACCTGTAATCCCAGCACTTGGGAGGCTGAGGCAGGAGGATCACTGCAAGTTCGAGGCCAGCCTGAGCTACAAAGTGAGTTCAAGGCCAGTCTGAATAGTGAGATCTTACCTTAAAAAGACCAAA